TATGTTTCCGCCAAAGAATTTGTGTTCAACAAATGAATTCTGTTTGATGTTTAGTAATCACACATCAACTTCTGATTAAGTAGTTGTCCTTTATCTCCTCAATATTGTAATTTGTATTTGTAAGAGCTAATTTATTCTATCAATCCTTTACCTATGAGTGGTTGTTACACTTAGCACTTTTCCTTTTGACTGTATTATAGTAATTGTTCTTGTAGAAGAGATGAACTTGATCGTTTAATTGTTGCAAGTCAACTCATATATTGGCATTTGCACCATCCTGTGTCCCATAGGTTTACTCAGTTGGGTTGTAGATACCTTGGCTGGGGGTCTCTACTTGCCCTAATTAAACTACTACAGATACAAGGTTGTTTATATATATATATCAGTTATATGTCGCAAAATAGCTTATAAACCGTCTTGGTGTATACACTATTTTCTAGATGAGACTACTAAGGTAGCCTGAGCAAGGGCTCTTAACCTGCCTTCATAATGTTTTCAAGCCTGTGTGTTTTAGCAACCTCTAAACTAGTCTTTGTTTATTGGGGGATAAGATTATTTATATCATCATGCTAATCCCAGCTTGTAAAAGAATTTTAATCTAATTGTTGTTGCTGCTGTGTTCTCTGCCTCATTGGGATAAATGTAACATTTCAGGTACCAGTCAACCTTGTTGGGGTCTTACCAGACTGTGGAACTGATTGAGACGTTCATGAATTACCAGGTAATTCTAATTTGACTTCTTAGCTGCACATACATAGAGTATCCAGTGTTAGTCTATTTCATAATGTATGACACTTGATTGATTTCAGTCACAATGGTGCTTTTGACTTGTACTATACGTTTCCTAAAGTGGTACATAAATAAAATCTTAGATTTTATCTTTAGTGTTTCAACTGCTGCTTGTGCTGAAATAAATTCAAGCCTTATTGTCACCATTCTTCTTGTGGAAAAAAAGAGAATAACTATTTATGAAATGTTTTCTATATTTAGTTCCTCTATGTCGGCAATCCAAACACTATTGTTTGATCTTACATTATTAGTTGTAGTAGTACTCTAGCATGTTTCAATTAGTTTGACTTGTGCGGCAACTAACTGGTTAAAAATTAGATTTGGCTTTCATTTGTTTGGAATTTTTTATTATAAAATGAAATGTTTGCATTTGAATTGTGCTGTCAACCATTATCAACTTGACCTGTGTTATTTTCTCATTATTTTTATAATTGTATTAAGGATAATCTTGCTCTAATACCTTTTAAGTTGGTGTTTGGCTTGCAGAGTGGAATGGGTTTGGAATTAGGATTGAAACTAGGCATGTATGGGGGTTTGAACTTGATACCTTCTAGTCTTCTACCATATGTTGGTTCAATATAAAATTGAAAATAATCCCTTAATTTTATACCTAGTGGTATAGTATGAGCCAAACCCACCTGCCCCTTGAATTTTTAAACCCCATACCTTATGGAGTTATGGGTTTGAAATTCATAATTTTGTAACCAATCACATAGTATAGGTTTTACCAATTTTAATTCCATATTTCCTATCAAAAAACCGCTTTTCAAACACTACATTAGACACATCGTCAACCTTTGTAACTTTGTATATTTTTTAAAGAAAGGATACACATGTCAATTATATTTTCACATTTTTTGATAATCCAATGTTCAAATTTAGTGAGATTTTCCGTGTAATATCAATGCAAGTGCCAATTTCGTGGTTTTGATGAAGTTCAGCCAGCATTTTAGACGTTCATTTTCTTAAGTTATCCAATAAGGTTGACAACAATTCACACAGGGTTGTCTCACAGCTGTAAACGATTTGTATTACTGTATTATTGACCTTTGGGGTTCTAGTAATAATTTATATGTTCACATTAAAAGATTGCCCCTAGTCTTCAATATGGTCACTGATTTAGTTTTTATTTTTTTTATTTTATTTCTATTAATTAGCTTAATGGATGCTGAGTTATTGAGGTTCATCAGCTATCTGCTCATTGTATCATCTTGTTTATCCTTTGATTGTTGTTTTTTTTTAATTACTTTTTTTTTTTGAAAAAGTTAAAAAAAAAATCTTCTGTAGGCTATTTCTCAGTTTTGATTTTTTTTTAACGGTTTTAATGTCATTGCAGGAAAATATAAGACGTTGTGTTTGCATTATATATGATCCATCTAAGTCAAATCAAGGTGTCCTGGCTCTGAAGGCGTTGAAGCTTTCAGATTCTTTTATGGAGCTATACCGCAGCAATAATTTTACAGGAGAGAAGTATGTCCTTTTTGCTTGTCCAGTTTCATTTTCGTGAATAAAATAAAAAATCTCTTTTTAATCATACCTGGTCCTTTATGTTATAGGTTGAGGGAGAAGAACTTGACATGGGTGGATATATTTGAAGAGATTCCTGTAAGTGATGGTTCATTTTCTCTTCTTGAATTGTAGATAGTTGTCTACTTCTTTGTACTCGCCGGATGAATCATAAAGAACTATATCCTGACTTTCTATTCCCTCTCTGCAAGCTTTAAGAGGGAGTACATTTGAGAAGAGATGTACCTTATATCTTCTTGGGAAATGATATTGCATTGTGTTCTTTTATAGATATCTTTCTTCACATTCAAAGAATTTTACGTTTGGAAAAGTTATTTGCAAGTAGGCCTAAGGAAATCACTCTACTCATTTGCTTTAAAAGGGGAAGAAAAAAAAAAAAAAAAAAAAAAGGAATTAAAGGCATTAAAAACTTTTCTCTACATTGGTCCTTATCCATGTGGCACTTTGAGTGTTGTTTGCTTAGGCTGATAGAAAATCTGTATTCTTTATTGTGTTTATATATTAACTTTTTTCTTTGCAGATTAAAGTCTCTAACTCGCCTCTTATAAGTGCTGTCATGACAGAGCTGGAAAATGATTCACCAGTCACCCAGGTGTAGTTTCTTCCCCTGTGTATTGCAGAATTTTTTTTCCCAGACACTTTTGTGTAGGTACTTATGTGGCTTGTACTTCTATTGTAGTGTGATTATGATCGCCTGCAATTAGTTACCACTCCATACATGGAGAGAAACTTGGAATTTTTGGTTGAGTGCATGGATGATTTGTCTATGGAACAGCAGAAGGTTAGATTTTCAGGCTTTATGGAACTTTTTGTCTGTTAGAATTTCCTTTCTGTTTGACAATAGTCACTTTACTATTAAACTCTGATTTTGCAGTTCCAATTCTATTATCGGAACCTCTCCAGGCAACAAGCTCAGCAGCAAGCATGGCTTCAGAAAAGAAGGTAATTTAAGTGATTTTTGAAATAGCTACCTTTAGCCAAAACAAGAGCGTTAGAACATCACACAGAGTAATATCCCCTTTAAAGATAAGTTTGGGTAGAAATGAAGAGGCTGCCATTGAATCTGAGATTTGGCAATAAAAGCGTTGTAGGTACATAATTTGGGAAAACCGAACTGATATGATATATATACTAGGAATTTACTCTAGGGGATCTCAAGTAGGTGCTTTCCTATAACCTTGGATGTTCTGCTAAGGTTTTATCTTTTGATTACTAATATAGCTACTGCTAATATTTCTCTTTTACCATCATGTTGGATTTTTATTTTTTAAATTCCTTATTGTTGGCATTTTCAAGATTGATGCTGTTGTATTATTGAATGGATCATGGGATTTGTGGTTGATTGAAGACATATGTGTTCTGACCTTCGTAGATCCTAGACCCTGCCAGCAGTAGAACTCATACCCATTGACTGAATTAGCTGTTGAATGAATCAAGTGTGATTATGATACCTTTTGATATTATTTTATTAATGTTGTCTGAATTGAAAGATCATGCTTGCAAATGGAAAGTGTTCTGCTGAGAGTGGTCTAATGAGATATAATCATGACACATTTATATCTTCTAATGTTAATTTTGTTCTCTCATTCATGCAATTTGTTTTATGCAGGGCGGAGAACATGGCCCGTAAAGCTTCTGGAGAAGAGCCTTTACCTGAGGAGGATCCTTCAAATCCAATCTTTAAGCCAATTCCTGAGCCATCACGACTGGATAGTTTCCTCATAACAAATCAAATTGGCAATTACTGCAACCAAATCAATGGGTATGTTAAAACTACTGGATAGTTTAGAACTTTTTTTTATTTTAGTTTGAATAAATAATGAACTTGGGGAGCCCTTGTGATTGTGAGAAGAGTGAGCATGTATCAGTTGCCTGTTTTTCACAGCTGCAAGGCTTTCTACCTTCAGCATGATATAATTAGATGGTACTTGTGGAGAGTTTTACTGCCCTGAGTTTCTGCAATTTTTTCTTCTTCTTTTTGGAGGGGGTGGGTCAGTGGTTAAGGAGTTTTTAATTGTTTTTGGTTATGTTGCAGGGTTGCTGGACAGAATTTCAGTAGATTGTATTTGACCAAGGCATTGCATGAGAATTGAAGTGCGGATGCTTGGTGAGCCTCTCCCACAGATCTCACAAATACATTATTGCTGCCTGAAAATGCTGTCCTTAACGAAATACTATCATCTGGGAGTTGGTGTCAATTTTCAAGAAATGGTGATTTGTAGACTAGTTCATTTTTGTCTGACCACATTCGTGGTGTTTTTTACAATTTAGTTATGTTTGTATTATACACTTAAGGTCGTAGGATCATTGCTTAGATCTGAATGTAACAAGGGGATAATTGGCTGCAATAGTGCTGCTTTGCCCTTTTCATGGGGTTTCTTTATTTCAATGTGTACTTTTTAAGGAAGCTCACAAAGGCTTAGTTTGTATACCGTCGCCGAGTTAAGTAATGCCGAAGAAAATGCAAATTTATGCTGTCTTGATACATGTGGAATGAGTTATGATTTGAAAATGGAAAGCCTTTTTGTCCGAGGAAAGTTGCACTCTACTAAATAACTTCGTATGGCTGTAGGTAAGATGAATTTAGCAAGGCATGCCTCAATAGTTACAGTATATTTCGTTAGTACTTCGTTTTTGTCTGCGCCTTTATTTGGTAATCCTTTCACTTGCACCCCACTTCTCTCTCTCTTTCTCTCTCTATTCTCATCAATCCCACTAACACCCATGTGCACAATTATATTTTACTTAAAGAAGTGAAATTTGCTCTATTCCGCAATAATAAAAAAATAATAAAAAAAAAGACGGAGGGAGTATATGATTAGATTAAATTATTATGCGGCTATGTTAAGAAAATGACATTAATTACATAACAGTTCTTGCGCTTATTCTTGTCGATTTGTCCCTTTTTTCCTGTTTTTTAAGGAAAATAAGGGACTGCCAGCTGCTATATTTGGTTACCCCCGTCACGTCGCTCGTTTTAGATGGCACTGCATATATGCATGGCCAAGGTGATCAAGTGATATGTATCCTAAAAAGAAAATGGAGCAATTTTTATCTGAGTATCTCAGAAACCACATTACTAAAATTACTCCTGTTTTACCAACAGACTAACAAAGCACATACCATATGCATATGACATCAGGAAAGTCGTTATCAAATCTTTGTCCAAAACATTAAAATAAAAAACCAAAAAAAGCATACAATTTCTTCACATCCTAATGATCCTACCTACTTAAATTCAGTAACCTTCTTGTCTTTGAGGAACTGGGGTTTTGATCACTTGAAGAATCTGAACCACCTCGGACATTGAAGGCCTGATCGAAGGAACTTGAGAGGTACAAACCAGTGCCACCTTCAAAACAGGCAACACCTCTCCATCAGGGTACTCTCCCATGCTATGATCAACACAATCCAACACGTTCCCTTCCTCGAGTAACACTCTTACATGATCATTCAGTATCACCACATTGTCTTCCCCATATTCTATAGGCCTTCTTCCTGTAATAATCTCAAGCACCATAATTCCAAAGCTATATACATCACATTTTTCATCAACTCTCAAGCTCTGGCACACTAATTCAGGGGCTGCATAGCCTGGTGCACCCTGAAATCTATTGCCGGCTATACTATGATTGTCAAACCTGGTAAGCAGTCTAGCTAGTCCAAAGTCAGAAACCTTAGCATTGTAATTTTCGTCTAGTAAGATGTTGCTTGGTTTCAAGTTGTAATGTATGATTGGTGGGCTGCAAGAATGATGCAAATGAGCGAGTCCCTTTGCTGTTCCAAGTAAAATTCTGAACCTTGTATCCCAAGAGAGAGGAGCTAAGTTTAGCGGCCTTTCATGGAGTCTGAACTGGAGGCTGCCGTTGGTAGCATAATCTGAAACCAAGAGCTGCAATTGAGGAGTCCAATAGTATCCTCTAAGAGATGCCACATTTAAGTGTCTGACCTTCCCTAGAGCTCTTACTTCCCTATCAAAGTCTTCCGGGTATTGAAGTATGTTGGACTTGTAGAGCTTCTTTACTGCCACAATCCTGCCTTCAGCCCCTATGGTAGCCTTGTAAACTATGCCAAATAACCCTCCTCCGATCTCAGAGGCCTTGTTGATAAGAGACTCAGGGTCAGCAAACAGGTTTCCTGATGTCCTTGTATCAAAGAGGACTAGTCTCCCTACAGAGGGTGTTCCTGACCGAGATGAGCTTGAGAAAATGCTTTCCAACGCATTGTCAATGAAAGCAAGTCTCCTCCTTGCAGAAGCGTTTAGTAGGGTTATGATAATTACCCCAATTACGATTATTGCAGCTGCTGCTATCGCAATGATGGCTGAGATACTGAGGAACTTGTGATGATCTAATCTTCGTGCTATCTCGTTCCCCTCATTATGACCATGCATGCTGTTGGGATATGCATTGGGATCAAGGACTAATGGCTTTTGTACATTCAACTTGCAAGGACCTTTAAGTAAGGGTGAGCAAAGTCCCAAGTTTCCTTGTAATGCACTTGCATCTAAACTCGGAAATACTCCCCCTGGAGGAAGCCTGCCAATAAGCTTGTTGTAAGAGACATTAGCAGCTAGAAGATTTTGCATTGTACCTAACTCTTTAGGCATCTCCCCACTTAGCTCGTTCGACTCCAGCCTTAGAAATTCAAGCCCCTTTAGCATTGACATAGAGCTCGGAATTGGACCACTTAAATTATTGTGAGACAAGCTCCTGTAATTCATAATTTTATGCAATCATGATCAGTAAACATCCTAAAAAAGGGAAAAAAGAAACAGAAATACTCAAGTTTGGTACACTTTTCCCTGTTTGTTAATCTAGAATAATTGTCAATTAATCCTAGACTATAAATATGAAAAAATTGCAAGCAAAAACTAATATTTAAGGCATCAAAGCTATAAAAAAAAAACAGAATTTACTTGATAAATGAGAGTACTTACAATAAATATAGTGAAGAGCAATTGCCAATCTCCTGTGGAATAGGGCCAGTCAAGGAATTATCATCCAACTGAAGGATAGATAAGCTGCTTGATGAATCACACAAATCACCAGGAATCATCCCATATAATGCACTGCCTCTAATATCTAAGACTGTTAAATTCTGAAGGTACCCAATTTCTGGGGGTATCCTAGAATGAAGGTTATTCCTAGACAAGTTTAAGTACCTTAAGCTAGAGAAAAGTCCCATTTCTGGTGGGATTTCCCCTGAAAGATCATTATTTGACAGATCTAACACAAGCAAAGACTCGAAAACCTGACCCGAAGCTGGTGGGATAGAGCCTGTGAACCTGTTTTCTGACAAGCCTATTTCTTCCAACCCCATTGTAAACAGCCTTTCTGGGATGCTCCCGTTAAAGAGGTTACCCTTAAGTTGGAGGGTTTTTAGCCCATTGCATTGTACTACTGAAGTGGGTAAATTCCCAGTAATCTTGTTGTTTGACAAAATTAGAGATTTTAGTGATTTGAGATCACCCATTGACATTGGTAAAACTCCTGTTAAACCATTATCAGAAACATCTAAATGTTGTAAATTGGTCAAATTTCCTACCCACTGAGGAAATTCACCATTTAAGGTATTGTGTGCTAAATTTAGGAACACCAAAGATTTTAGTGTACCAAATGTTGTGGGTATATTACCAGCAAAGAAATTACTGTTAAGATCGAGTTTAAGCAAATGCGGGCATAGACTAATGTCGGATGGTATCGAACCCGAAAATTGGTTACCTTGCAAGTGCAATTCCTTGAGATTATGCAAAGTATATATTCCAGTTGGGATATTACCGGAGAGTAAATTATTTGACAGGTCTAATAATCTGAGCCTATTCAGAGCAAATATCCCACCATTTTGGATAAAAGGGTTACCAGAAAAATGATTATTTGAGAGGTTTAACCCATTTAAGACACTACATTTAGAGAGTGTACTTGGTATTGGACCTTGAAAGGAGTTTCCTGATAAAGAAAGGTAGCTTAAAGATGGGAAATTTTGGAAAACGTTATCAGGTAATGGACCAGATAACATATTTTGAGAGAGATCAAGGTATCTAAGAGACGAACCGAGGCTCGAAAATGAACTAGGAAGTTGCCCTGTAAATTTGTTGTGACTAAGATCAAGTGTTTCAAGGTTAGGAAGTTGGGCTAATTCTGGCCTTAATTCACCAGTCAGATTGTTGTTAGATATTGACAGTACCTTAAGTCCCTGCAGCTTCTGCAACCCTTTTCCTAGCCGGCCCGAAAGGTCTAGGCCTGTTAGGTAAACCCCGGAAACCCGGCCTGTGGCCGAGTTGCATTGAATGAACTTCCAAGAGCAAGGAGATCCATCATCCTCAGTCCATGAGCTCAATGCTGGTGGGTTATGAAGTTCTGACTTGAACACTATTAGTCCCAAAATGTCGTCGTTTAGATCGATCGCCACGTCCTCGTAGGCAGCCCTAGAACGTCTCATGGCACAACATGATAGTAGTAGAAGGCACACTATCAACTGAAGAGTGCCCATTTGCAACTTTTTTCTTTGAGTAATTTTTTTTTTGGGTGCATAAAGTTATGTGTACATAACTGTAACTAACTAAAATATCATATAATAATTAAACTTTGAGTTAGTCCACTCAAAAGAAGGTGAAATCTTTACCTAAAAAGGAATTGTGGGTGATGAAATTTTGGTGGGTTTTTTGCAGGGAAAGAAAGGCAGATGAATCAGAAGAAATTGATTGAAATCTTTGGGAGAATGTTTTGAAAAATTATGGTGCCAAAAAAAAAGGTGGGGTGTAATGTGTAAAGAGAAAGACAAGTCAAGTAATTGGTCCAAAAAATGCATGTGACACCATATCAGAAGATAAAATAATGTGTATACAGCATATAATGCAACAAAATGTTTACATCCTCTTGTCTAAGGCATCCTATCTGTGCAATTTTGTCTCTTTTTAGGGTTGATTTAGAGCTATATTTTTCCCATACTTTGGTGTTTGAAATTAGTATACAGTATACTTCATTAATGACAATGGGAATATTTTGGTACTTCACTGTTAGTAGTAAAGCTATGACAGTAAGGCTGATGGGTTTGCTGGGAATTTTGGCAGAGGCTTATTTACCTAGGATTAATTGATAACATTCAGTTGATGTGAAGCCTTAACTAGTTGGTTAAAAGCTGAAACACCGGGAGCTCTATAGCGGAAAATAGTGAAACTAGCTGATTGCATTAACTGTTCAGTAAAACTATGGTTTAAAGTGTAGCAACTAATTAGTATGAATTTGATAGTCATATTATTAGTTTCATCTCATCAACGTGACTATTAATTTTGGATGAATTGCTTACCAAACACATCTGAAGTTGTAGGTTAGCTGGAGAAGTGGTTAGTTAATCACTTGATAAAGTACTGATTATATAAATATTGAATGCTAAATACTCTACTTAACTAAACCCTACATCTGAATCTTGTCTGCTCTTGCCGACCTAAAAGGGTAACTGGCTGACTAAATCTAAACAAGCAATAAATGCATGCATGTCTTGTATGAAAATTTTAATACAAGTATAGTTTTTGTAAGGAAATAAAGTCTTCATTTTGCGGCGTTAACATAAAAGGTGCAAGTATTTGGATAAATTTACTTCGTTGGATGCCTTGATCTTGATGATTCTATAATAGTTCGTTGTGTTCTGTCATTCCTTTCCAATCAATCAATAGTGATCAATTTAAGAGGATATCCAATCATAATTGAACTAGCAAGCTAAGAAAAAATCACCGTAGTAGTGAATAAGGAGTACTTCATGATACGGTCTTTCTAATGTACGAGGGCTTATGAGCTGCACTAGTTAAGCTTTAATATACTCTATTTATAAATTTTTCCGCCAAATAAAAAAAATTAATAATAATAAATTAAATTAAATTAAATAAAAAAAAAAGTCACTACAAGCAAGCAAGAGTTATAATATTGAAATGATGAACTCCAGGTTAGCTTAACAAGCATCCATGAACACTCATCAGAAAAACCGATACTAATAATAATTGATGAACTTGGTTAGCACCAAGTGGACACTGGACAAACATATACAAGTATATTGATACCAAAATAGTGAAAATACCAATCATTCTATGCGATATGTTCAAGAATCTTCAAAGATAAGAATAAAACCCAACACACATTTATTCAACATTATATTACATTATTTAAAGGCCACAATATTTATTTTAAGGCCTTCATAATTCTAGTTTGGATTGTTTGCAATATTAAGCTGATGTAATGTTAGCAATATGGAACTTCAATCAACTTCCAACATACTCACTTCATCACATGTGACTTGATTGTGAATTGCGATGCCTCTTTTTTTGGCTCACGGGCTAAAAATTCATGTACCTTATAATGTTATAATGTTGGGTGACGGTGATATATATAGTACTATAACATCTATTTTGTCATGTCAATATCATAATACGTTATTAATGACGGAGTTTAACTAGCATGGTCGATAAGTAAGATTGTAGGTATTAACTACTTGCATTGCTCCGTCTAGTCAGAGTTCATGAAATAAATAGAACTATCATGTTTTCGCAAGTACTCCCTCCGTCCCTTAATTTTTGCCCAATTGCAAAATTATGAGTCAAAATTTTAAAACTTTGATCATGTATTCTCGTTAATCTATTAGTGATAATGTATTTATGTGCGATCTTGTTAGAATCATCTCATTGTATAGTTTATTAATAGCAAATTTTCATAATTTTTACGCGTATAGAAATGAAGATATATATGTTTGAAGACCATGAAAAAGTCAAATGAGGTAAAAAAAATTAAGGGATAGAGGGAGTAGAAACAAAATATAGGCCTTATTTGGTTGATGTAGGAAGTAAATTCCCATGGGAAATTACTTCCTTTATTAAAATTCCTAGGAATTCCATAAATATGTTTGGTTGTCATGTGGGAATTTGTAAATCCTAGGAATTGTGAATGACCAAGGGAGGGGTGGGTAAGTAACTTCCCATGTTTTGTGGGAAGTGAAAATTTTCCATGAATTATAACTTCCCCCATTTTTGCTTTTTAATGTCAACCAAACAACATACCTAAAAGAAAATTCATGAGAATTTTGAATGCCCATTTTATTGAAGTTAGGGTATACGTGAAAATTCAACTATGGTGTTGTTTGGTTGCCTTTAGTTTTCATGAATAGTGAAAAGGGGAGTCTTGTAACAAACAATTAATTGGGATTACTTAGAAAGAAGGGAAAATGCAAATTACTCGAACTTGGTTCTTAATCAAAATGTTAAAGTGCAACAAAACTAGCTAGTTACTTGTTAGTGTATTAATTAGCTTAGTTAAATTATTATATGATCTGTAAATCAGTGATGCTTTGGTACAAATCTACTCCAAACTTATTTTAATTTCTCAAGTGACTTATTAGGAGATAGTCCTAGGATATCTGGATATATAATGCATATTGCAACCTACGTATATCATACCTACCATAAATAATAATGTAAGATTAACATGTATTGAATTTTTTTTTTATTTTTATTTTGGTAATAATCATTTATGAGAAAAATACAATTCATTACAGATATATGACTGACTTCCTCTTCCCAATATATTAATGATTCTCCAGGTGATGATGAGAAGACAAAGAATATGGTCACTTACAAAGTCAAATTATATACAAATTCCATAATTTTGAAAGAGCTTTCTATAACTTCTTTTATCATCTCCTAATGAAATATTAGTATGTACAATAATTTGTTTTCTACTTGATTAAGCATTCAAATTCAAATCATCTAAACATTGTAAACGCTTTGAAATATAGTCACCACTGTTAACCTCATCTTTACATAAAATTTTACTTCATAGATGATAATTGTATTGATGATCTTGATTATGAATTATTGTTATTTCATTGAAAAAATAGATGTAATGTGATTTAGTGGAGTATATTTTGTGAGTACCAAACTTTTCTTAATGGAAAGATATCGATATTAACATACTTATAAGGTTACTTCATGTACGAAATTGTAGCAACAAGTATTCCGAAACAGATAAAGGAAAATGTCACAAATATTCTTAGTGGAGGCAATATCCTTTTTTCCTAAGATTATGTATGGTTATAAGTAACTTACCCTAAGCAAAAGTATTAGTACTAATACTATTAAAATTAGGTGTATAGTCTGTATTATATTCCGTAATTAAGTACAGTAGATTAGTAGTACTAGTACATAAATTAGGAATATAGAAATAAGGTACCCGAAGAAGAAGGGAACAAGGACAAGAAAAACCTAGAGCTTTCAGTATCACAAGAGTTAAACAACGTTCACGGGTGTTTCCTCTATATTTTCTCCACTCCACCCAAAAAAGAAATGATTTTTTTCTCTTTTTACACGTACTTGTAAAGTTGGCTTCTCAAAGAGGTAAGTGGTCCTATATTTCATAATTCATATGCTTCTTTTCATGCCTCATAATATATGGTACTATACCCTTTGATACGAATGGTACCACCACCTACATTTAACTTCTTGATGGCATTGATGCCATGAGGGTTGATTCTTTTTTTTTTTTAACAATGATGCCATGAGTTGATTAGGAGCAAATAACAAGATACATTTGGCTATCAATGCAACAAAATTCCGAATTAAAGTTATTAATTCTTTTTTTTCTCAAGATACTGCAGACCTGGCCTATTGTTATGCTTATTATGGTTCCAAACAACAATCTATGACCCAAGAGGACACCCAACACATTCACTTTAGTTTTAAAAAAAATAAAAAAAAAATCGAAATTGATCCGAAAACATGGATTATAGCCTTTGTTTTTAGGCGATTTTTGACTTTTTTGGGGTCGAAAAAGAAAGAAGACGAGGCACTACTGAGAGGTTGTTTGGATAGTTGGAAGCATCTTTTCTACGTCATTACCACCTATGTAACGGTTTTCCAAATAGCCATGCAATTTCATATATTACCACCTGTTATGGTACTACTCCAACCTATATGATAACGAGGAACACTCCACACATACATTTCATATATTTGGAAAAGTTTAATTTTCCAAATTTAGTCCAAAAGCGTGAATTTATTAATCTAGGGTTTTATGCATTTTTTTAAAAAAAGGAACTTCCACGCTAGAAGTCAAAAAGGCCAAGGCGCTCCCTATAGAATTTTCACTATATTTCGAAATGATTCATGTTATGCATGGCTCATTTTTCTTTAATTTAAATTTTATTATAAGGTTATTAAAGTAGAAATAATATTTTGACATGCATCATGTTATTGTTATGTATGACTCATAAATTTAAATTTTTAAAGAGTAGACATAATATTCTCATCTACTCGTACTTCGTATTAAAATTATGGTCCAGTTCAAAGTATGGGCTAAATATTTCCTTTGCCTCTTTACAGTTGTATAAAATGATAATAGTAACATATAATGAATTGATGATTGTTTGTATGAATTGTAATAATATACATCATATTTGCTCACCATTTTATTTTTGAAGGAAATATCTGCTCACCATACATATAGTTTATGCTATAACTGGACTAGTTATTGTTGGAAATTATCTAATATTACACCGCACAAAAAAGAAAAATTAGATTCAAAAGATTTTGTTAATGTGTCATCCACAAAATTGAGATGTATTTTGTATGGCTCATTGGCTTGTGCAAAGCAAATGAAGCGATATCATCGTACTACCTCCATTCTTCCTTCTTTTAGTGTATTATTAAACACCGCCATAAAAAATGATCACCATCGTCAACATTTGGTATGAATGGACAAATATGCCTTAACTAATTCACCACCCCTTATCCTCCCCGAAGACCCACCACCCCTTCCGACCAGCGGCGACCACCACCACTCTGACCGGTGACCCACCACATCCCCCTCAATGACGACCCACCACCTTCCCTCGCCGGCGGGAAGGTGATTTTTTTTATTTCCGGCAACCACGGTAACGGAAGCCCAAAACTGATTACCAAGTTACCGTGCCCGATAACCGTTTCCAACTCCTGGAGCCCAAAATCGATTATCGTGCCCGGTAACCAGTTTTGGGCTCTGGTTGCTAGAAATTAAAATAAATAAATAAAAAAAACACCACCTTCCCGCCACCGGTCAGGGTGGTGGTGGTGGTCGTTGCCGGTTAGGGTGGTGGTGGTCGTCGCCGATCAAGGTGGTGGTGCTTGGTGGCGAGAGGAAAAATAGTGGTAAATTACTAAGGGTATGGTGGTCCATTAACATAAAATGTTGGCAGTTTTTTTTTTTATGGCGGTATTTAACACCTCCCTTTTTTTATTGCAAAGTTAGAGATTTTACAATTATAGAACAAAATGTGTTTTGTTTATTCAACATGTACTGGTATCGGAGAATTAGACATGCCACACTTGCTTGTAATGATAAATTAATCGCTAACACTAACATTATCAACCAAGATTAGTCCTGAGATCTGAATTCAAAAGGATATTAGTCCTGCAAAATCAAATAAAATCTTCACCTCATCACAGAAGAAAAACAAGTCTCATGGTGAAGGGGGAATTCAGACACCTTTCACAGATTTAATGTTCACAACTAGATTTCAGACAATGTTACACCGATACATTTACATTAACCGAAAGCGAAAAAACAGCCGGAAAAAGAAGAAAAGAAGAGGGGATGGGGAGTTTAACTAGAAGAACCAGAACCCTATCGTACTATGAGAGCATACCTCTTGCTATACAAACATCTACTAGGTATACTTTACTACTTACTAGCATAATCTCCTGCTGCTTTATTCTAATATAACCTATTTGATGCCAAAAGATCCATGATTTTAGAAACCTTGAAGCACAAATTTCAAACCCTTGCTAATGAATTGAGCAGGCAAGTTTCCATCATTCAGAAAAACGAATCCAGGTATTGGTACGCATGTTTTCTATTGTACTGTAATAAGCTTGCGTAAGTCCTGTCCCATATTCCTATATATAAACATTCGTCATCAGGGCTCAAAGATACTCCGGAAATCTCCCCGAAGAAATCGATCTCCTGTCGCTTCTCGTAGTTTGCTTTCGTGCTGTACACATGGACAAAATCGGCTGGTTCAGCAGCCACCATAAATTTACCGTCTGATGAAAATCGGATGGATCGGGTAGCACCCAAGTTTCCTTTTAAGACAGCAACTGATTCCGAAAGCTTCCTCACATCCCAAACTCGGCATGTCTTATCTTGATTACCTGTGGCAAAAACTTGTCCGTCTGGATGCCAAGCGGTAGCAAAGGAAAAATCGCGATGGCCTTCCACTGTTGAAACAACCTGCCCATGCAATAAACACATCATTATAATAAATCCTCATTTATGAAGGCCCACTTTCTACATTCACTCTTTTTAAGTATTCCCTGGGTTTATTGGTTATATTTTGACTTTTAAGAACAAATTAACAAACATTGACCTAGCATGTTGAGAATTATATGGAGTACAAATCAACAGCATGTCCGACATAAGTATACTGTTTGACAGATTCGTCTTACAAAAACAAAACACATGCACAAATTTGGTATATTCCCTCCAATACTCATTATCTTCCCACTTCACTAATTATTAGTTAATACTCAGTACACTCCATTTCATACCATCAATAACTTGTATTAACCAATGAACTATTGCTAATCAATCCAACATACAAACATTACTAGTCAATTCTGATTATATAAAGTGTTGTTAAAATCACGAGGATTGAAGAATCATCCAACGACTTGGATCATGCATAAAATTAGAATCAAATAAAGAATCAGTTGTGGGATCGTTATGATAGTATGAGAATAAATAGGATCACGATTAATTCTGAATCTAATGATCCTACAGCATAGATTAAACGAGCTTCTTTTAACAGCCTTGGGCTAGCTTATATACTGAAACTAAAAAAGCCAGCAGTTGATTATTATTAGAGCAGAAACGAAAATAAAAAATAAAAAAAAATAAAAAATAAAAAAAAACCCTTTTCTTCTCTAATTATCTCACTCTCCCCTAATTCGACAATTTCATGCTACTCCAACATTGATGCAGAAACATCCAAGATTTTCTTTCTTGATTCATTCTTGGAACTTTCTTTTAGAACTTTCCTAAAGTTTCTTGAAAGTTCTTAAAGGTTCTTGGAACTTTCTTTAAGTTTAAGTCTAGATTTTGCTTACAATATTTTACCCATCATTAAAAGGGATTTTCTTGTTTCAAGGATTAGGATTTAAATTTATATTTCAAATTATAATTAAAAAAAAAATCTATCTTTTTAGAATTTCTTATAGAGATAGAATACTACTAGGAATTCTAAAGTACTTGGACTCTTAAAGCATATTTTGTAGCCTAAAGGCATGGCCATTCATTGATAAAGTTGAAGTTTTGTTTGTTAATAATATTATTTTTTAGGCTTGTTCAGTACTTAAGGAGAGATTTCTCATTGTATTTGTCAAGTGAAACCTAAATCAAGATACTTAGTTTAAGCAAGTGAAACCTAATCTAAGGTTAATTAGTTTAGTGAGTGAAGCCGTAATTCTGATTTAATCCCTTAGGTGTTAACAAACAAGCTTGTTAAGATCTAAGATTAAATAAATAAAGATACATATCAAACCTCAACGAATCTGTTGCATCAACAAAATCATTTTGGTGTTCCAACAAGATTTGTATTTTGCTACAATATTATCGATCAAATATGTACTCTAATCTTCTACAAGTACATTTTAATAAGTTTTTGTTGTTTGATTTATAAATTAGAAATTTGCATGTTCCATTCGAATTAGAACAGTTTTGTAGTTTTTTTTTTAGTTTACATTCGCATATATTAGAATTATTACTATAAATCAAATGCTGTTAATTGCAAATCCCTCTCCCCACCTTTTTTCAAATCAAACTTCCCCCTTTCAATTTATAGGTCGGTAGCTCTACGCCTCTTCTAAAAAGATTGATTCTCTAAATTATGCCAAGCTCTTTTAAAAACAAATGCTCATGGTAATAGAACTGACCCTGGAGGCCTAGATAGGAGCATGGCACTGAGGTGGAAAATGAAAATAGGGTACGATGTAAATACTGTGCTGTGATGTGGTGTTTGCTGGTGGAGTTTATGTTTATAGACTGGCTGTAATGTCGAGAGTTGTTTGTTCCAGCCGATTTAAAACAGAAAATTAGAAATCTAATGCAGAACAGTTAGTAGAAAAAAAACTTAATGACATAGGTGAGGACGATGATACTTGTCAATATCAACGAAGTAATACTGAAAAAGGAAGGGAGACATGGATGCTTTTGCAGGTAGAAGTAAAACTGAAGTGTGAGCAACACTAAACCAGAAATTCAAAAAGGAAGAAAGAGAAGTTCGTCAGCAAACTGCTCCTTTTTTTTTATTTAACACCGGTGCAATTCCTTTAATGATAATTCTAAATTCCTATCACGGTTGAAAAATGTCCAAGTATGGGATTAAACTTGAATCTCCAAGCTATCATGAAATAAGGATGAAATATTTGAGCAAAAATATGACAAATGCACTAATGCAGTGACCATGCTTGAAAAGTAGATGGATGGAGTGGTAGGAAAAGACACTCCTTTGTAATTCCTTGGTGAATAGCCCTAAAGGGTCAGTTTTCTAATCGTAAATTGATACATTGAACAGACAAAGTTCTTAATACATAGGGTGCAGTTATAAAAAAGGTTGGTGAAGAGAATGTGGTGCAAGTTGTCACTGATAAAGTGATAAAGCGGCGAACTGTAAAGCTCCTGGTAAAAAATTGATGGAGGAAAGGACTATATTATTTTGGACATCATATGCTGCTAGCCAGAGAATTTAGATTAATAGTTAAGGTTCATAGTGTTACCATGCAAAGGCTAGGAAGATCACTTATATTTACTCTAGAACCATACTCTTCACATGGATAAAAGAGTTTACTATCGAGAGCTTATTAGACCTACGATTTGCTGCATCTTACCTGACATGAGGTGCTTAAATGAGCATAAAGGATCACTATTGGCTTAGTTTTCAGCTAATAAGTGGGTATCTAGCAAGTTAGCCAAATCTGTTGAAAGGAAAAAAGTTCAGAGGATCATCTTAGATACTAGGGGATTTCAGCAGTGCTGTAGCGTGTTTAAAAGCTGCATTGCCACTTGTGAAATTTATACGAATAATGGATTCTGATGAGAACCAATCTATGGGATTTATCTATGAAACAAAGGCGCAAGCAAAATTAAAAAAAAATAATTAAAAAATCAAATCAAAGAAATATCTAAACAATTTTGACAGAGTTACTTTAGTTTGTGTTATGTTGTTACAGATTTTATAATATATAGTGTTGTATGTTTTTCTTATAACATAGTTTCAAGTCTATCTTAGACATTGATGATGAGCATTGGGTTGAGGTACGAAATTAGGCTTTATAATGACCGCTTCAATATAAACCTGATTTTCAAGCCAATGCTAACATTAATATAGGTTTATATTGTTTTTTTACAAAAAATGGTTGACCTAGAAGAAAGAATGAAAGATTAATCAGCAAATGGATGCTTTAAGAATGTTAGAAGGCTGTATAGGTTGCCTACTGCTGTGATGACAAGAACCAACGGACAAAAACTACATAGGCCCCTACATTCACCATCCTTTTTTTAATTTTTATATTTGTAGACAAAAGTTATTTTCATGAAAATAACATGATAGTCTATATGTAATGTATGGTTGGTGCACCCGCATGGTGCACCCGAAAAGAACATAAGGTATATTTAAAAGAACATGGGCAAAAAAAGAACATTATATATATTTATAAAGAACATGAGCATAATATGTTCTTTAAGTTTGATGATTATGTTCTTTGAGTTTGAACTATATGTTCTTTATATTATACAGTATATTCTTTAATGTATGTAAATTAAAAAAAAAAAAATCAATCACTCGAGTAACCAGAAAAAAGAACATGTTCTTTTTGTAAAGACTTTATGTTCTTTAGCTAGAGGTGATCAAAGTTAGAACGGCCCGACCTGATTTTGGACGGGTTTTGGGCAGAATTTTTTCGCCCCCAAAATCGGATCGGACCCGGCCCTTAAATTTAATTTATTGGGCGGGTTTGGGAATGCGTTTTATGCATTTTAGTTGATTTTTTTACTCGACCTGAAAAGCCCGCATGGCCGGACAATTTTGGGCACAAAAACTTTGGCCCAAAATTTGGCCCGACCCGAGAAGTGAGCTGATTTTTTAACCTTTGCCCGGCCCACCCAATGATCACCTACATCTTTGTCAAACACGAACATGTTCTTTTTTGTCAAATATAATGTTTTTTTTTCAAACATGTTCAACACCTAAATAACCATGAAAAATAACATGTTCTTTTTGTAAAGACTTTATGTTCTTTGTAATGTCATGTTCTTGTCAAACACAAACATGTTCTTTTGTCAAACATAGGTATGTTCTTTTTCTAACACTAGCATGTTCTTTTTTTTGCCCATGTTCTTTAAAATATGTCTAATGTTCTTTCCGGGTGCATCATGCGTATGGTGCACCCGGGTGCACTATACTATTTTCAGTCTATATGTTTGCAACCTAGACTTGCAGTTCTTCTGTTTGTGAAATAGGAGTGCATGACGGTAAATATGCTTTCTATTTTTTTCTACTTTATATTATATATTTATGGGGTAACTTGATATCTTCTTATAACTTTTGTTATAATGTTAATAGGTTCATACAAAGAAAGCAAAGAAGGAAATCAATTACATCAAGAAAAATACACGATTTAGTTTTAGTAATGTTAATTTGATATTAAATTATAGACATGATAAACAAGCGAACATACAAATAACATAACAACCAATTGTTTTGGAAGAGTTGCCAGTGATGATGAGTTGATAGCAGAGGTAGAAGAACATGCTCTTCCATCAAATGAAACATCGTTAATTGATCTTAATTGAGTGACAAGGAGATTTGCTAGAGCGACAGATTTTAAAAGGAGAGGTGATCTTGAAGTTGAAGTTCAAACTTTGAGCGTGGCAACTTTTATGGGTCCAAATGAATTTGATGCAGAAAAATTAGGTGATGGCGACAACTTTTAAAATGAGCCAACTACTACAAGAATTGATGTTGGAAGTGATGATGTTGAATATGAATATAGATAAATACATTGTTTTTTTTTAAAAAAATAAAGAAAAAACTAAGAGCCAAATGTCCTTTGTAGTTTGTGACTTGTGCTGTAAATTGTATACTCCCTCAGAATGATTGTTATATACACGTAAGTGCACGGTACACCCATGAGCATTTTGTTCTCATTTTGTTGATTGTTTTTCATTTAATCATCAAATGAAAAGCAAAAACTAACTTAGAATTAGTTGGGTGCACGGTATACCCGGGTGTGTATAAACATTCCAAACCGTTTCGCAATAATTGCAATAGTAGGGTGGACACAAAGTTTTAGGAAAATCATAGGATAGGGTCTAAAAAGGGAATTTTATAATATAAAGTATAGTTAATGCCTTAGTGGGATATATTTAATTGTAAATAGGAGAGAAAAAAAAAAACAACGTAAGTGGGGTTGGTAGAAGAGAGAAATAATAAAATATTAGTGGGTCCTTACCAAATAAGGAAGTACAACAATTATTATGAAACAAATGAAAAAGGAAAGTGTTGTGATTATTACGAAACGGAGAGAATACTTAAATTTTTTTAACGAATTTTTAATGCGAATGAAAAAAAATGTCGACGAATTCACTATAGGTATCTATTTGTGAAAACAAAAACCCCCACAATTAATAAATATACGTATTAAGTCTTAATTTATTGAAGTAGGTAGGATTGTACTCCGTACAATTTTACGATCCGATCCTACGCATGATCCAGAGAGTCCCTTCCTACTGTGTTTAATCTTGAAAGAAAATAGCCGTGAAATTGGAGGAATATTAAGAAAAGTAACCCAGCAAGAGAAGAGGAAAGCATAACATTTTTCTTTATCACTCGGTTGCTCATGTCTACTGTTTTTTCTACTATGCTAATGTCTTCAGACCCTTAGAAGTACCTACAATTGAATACAAATACCTAAGCCAACAACATGCAACTGCGAATATTCTGGCAGATACCAGACTTTGGCACTCGGAAACATGCACATGCTTATGCTTATAGAATAAAGGGCACTGTCCAAACCTTTAATGGCCAGGCAGCTTATATATATGTAGCCCCTTAGCTCTATCTAAGAGAATTCTGCTACATGCATAGTCTGTCATACCTTTCCGCTTTGCGAATCAACAAGCAACCCATCGACATGATCACCCACAACAGCAATAAGCTTCCGGTCAGGACTAATTGATGTGTGCTGCATCAGGAATAAAAAAAGTAAGTCAGAAACATAGTGTAACTAGTAGCCAGATTACTGCAGAATACAACTCTAGATTATACCTTGATGTCCCATCAAACCTCCAAAAAAAATAAAGAGAGAAACACAACAGAACTTAACATTGTTTTATTTATGCCGTGAGTATAATTTGAGATGTGTGACAGGGAGAAAGAGAGAGATGCCAAAAGTATGAAAACACTCACATTTACTGGCCAAGGGAAGCGGAAGTGGCTCAAGTGCTGGAAACTCTCCATATCATACAGTCGTATTCCACAATCGTTATTTGAAGCCATAAAATGATAACAGCCACTGCCCGAAAAAAAAAAAAGGAATTCCAACCAAAAAAGTCATCCGTCAATAAAAGAGAAAAAAAGAAAAAGAAAAAGAAAAAAAAGTAGCCACAACATTCATTTGTCGTGATTTCAATACCTCGAACTGTTGTATATCTCAACAGCGTTGGTGATAGCATTGTCATCGTACGTTGTCCGGGCACAAAAACTTATTCCTTTTTTATCAAGACGCTGCAAAATTTTATCAAGTCAAAACACCATTAATTCCATCATATAATCAATATAGATTCTGTAACACACCAAAAGAAAAAAGGAAAGAAAAACAAATGTTTAAATTCAATGCCCTGAAAGACCATTAAGGTTACATTAGGGAGAATTCCACAAGAACAATGTATTCAGAGTACCCCTATAACAAGAGCAACCAATTCAAAACCTTCAAAGAGCTAATTGCAAAATCTGACCACAAGACTATGTTACTAAGAGTCTCAGATTCAGTTACTTCTGTCAGACACGAATATCCAAGTGTCACAAATCTAACCACCAGCTATCTTTTAAAAAAATTTAATGTTTATGGTTCAAAATGAAGTGTGTCCATAACCATGTCAGGGTGTCATCTGTCGAGTAACATATCTACTAGGTTCATTCTTATTCAAAAATTCAACTCTCTTTTTTTATTGAATAAGAAGACAAGGTTGATAAGAGAGGATCACTTTACTCATCCTTTCAATTTGACAGTCTACTTAGTAGTGCTAAAATTGTCTGCATATATGATGATTAAATAAACTATGAAGTCCTTTTTAAACACAGGTTAATAGAAAACTGCCCATACCAATAACATGTATAGTCATATAGAGATAACTCAGATCTATTCAAAAAACAAATATATATATATATATATATATATATATATATATATATATATAGAGAGAGAGAGAGAGAGAGAGAGAGAGATAACTCAGATAAATGACAATTCAGTTTAAGAAAAAGCAAAAGAAATCAAGTATCGCAGTAAGCAAACAAAAGATGCAAATATACCTTGCACACTAATTCTCCTTGGAACCCTCCAGCAACCATGAGTTTGTCTTTGACTGCTAGTGTACTAATCTGAGTTTGGGTAAAACCTTCCACCAAGCTTCCTTTGTGTTTCTGCAACATCAATCAACAAGATAGCCATTGTGAGTTAAAGATCAGCCAAGGACTTAAGGAAGAAGCTTCAAAGAGGCTGTGGGTATTGAAAAAAGGACTGAGGGGGAATATACAATCTCATAGTATGAATGTATGATAATATGCAAATGAAGGGATTTACTTTATTATGCAGTAATATTCCTTCATACAGTTTTTTTTTTTTGAAATTAAAGGATAAAAAAGATAAAAAGATAAAAAAAAATAATAAAAAAAAAAATAATAAAAAAATTATTAAAAAAAACAAAAAAAAAAAAAAACATATTTCAAGATAGGAGGGAAAATACCTCATTAGGGGAAACATGTCCAGCAAAATTAACAACCTCTGATAAGCTTCGAGTCAATGATGACCAATGCATCACTTGGTAGTTGGACATGAGATACACATCATGTTTTGAAGTAGCCCAAACAAGATTTCTTAACTGCAAATAGATGAACACAACAATGTCAAACAGTGATACAGCTCCAGCAACATGCACATTATGCTAACAAAAAAAATGAGATCAAAAGACTCTCTCAACAGCGTTCACCAAGATTGAATAAGTGGTTGAAGGACTCACATAAACTAGTACAAGAATAACATCTGAAACTGATACCAATTGAGAAAGACAATAACTCTGAAAATAAATTAAAAAAACAATATATATCTTAGGGTGCATTTATCTACCTGATTTACACTAATCTGAGCTTATTAAAACTTATTTTAGCTATAAATTGAACTTAAGTAGCACTTACTTTTTCCTAGAATTAACTTATCAGCACATATTTTCTTAAGGTGAACAAGACACATGTCCTTAAAGGACGCACAATGCAAATACTAGCATTTGACAAGGAAGCAACTCATTTTAGCATTCCCAATCGTCATAGACAGTAACAGCTACAATAAAACACAATGAAAGTCCCAGCACTCCTAGCACGTATCAATATATCATCACGTTCTATTAGGCATAGGTATTGCTAATTTTTATGCCAATTGATTTCAAAATCGATCTGAATGAGCTAGAAAGTGATCTCATGGGCACAGACAGAACATTATGAATCCGTATGTATAATGTCTTACATGGGTTCAAAAATCAACTTGGCTTATTCAAGATTTATAGCTTTCGCTTGTAAAAACTTTAATTGTCTGCCTAGTCCCAATAAGGACAATTGATTAGCTTTCACTTTACTCAAATTTACAGAGAATTTGCATGTGAGGCAGAATATTAAGATTTTACACATTCAAGATGAGTATAATAACTTTATAAATCTAGCGAGGCACTTCTTCAATTGCCATATAATTTTACTTCACACCCTAACATAAGCTTAAAAGTGGCCTACATATCAGTATATTCCCTTGGCACAAGCTATGAGCCTAGGCAAACTTCCAATCCAAAATTAAACAGCATGAAGATCCAGGGAGGAGAGAGAGAGACTATGGCACGAGTGAGAAAAAAATTACACAGGTGCTAATCCTAAACCTAATCAGAGAAAACAGATGTGAAGTCTATCAAATAACAACATCATGAATGCTTTGAAATTCCGGGCAACAGTGGTTATCATGGCCACTATCATAATCTCCGACCAGGGAAGAAGGCCTCACTGCCAAGTAAAGAGCTTAAAAGCCTACTATTTTGCAACATATACACAGACAGAAAGAGCCACATTTGCAAAATGCAACAACAATATATGGTAATGTAAACCTCAACTGTATTATCTGTTTTTCTCACATAATCAATACAGAAATGCAGAAAGCTACAAACCTGAAAATGCAGAATTGTAGGCTTGACCACTCTTGAATTGTAGAAGAACTCATAGAAATTTCCACCTTTCTCCTTTGACTTCCATTCCTAATCACACCAAGTAAGTCAATACACAAAATTCCGAACAAATATTTATTCATTATACACACTTCAAGGCAAGTAACCAACCTTGTCTATGGAGTCCCCAGAAGATGGGACGTTCTCATAATTCTTGTACTGTTCTAGCCTAGTTAACCTGTATTTCTCTCTTGTTATGTTCAATCTATCCCAAGGAATACCCTGAATGTCTTTCCCTTGTCTAGCACTGGCAGCAGAGGTATCTGTCACCTTTGTAAGCTGCTAAATCATATCAAGCAGGTAAGTTTCAGTACCAGGAAGAACAATACTTGAAATCGAGAAAGAACTGCATTAAAAGCTAATATTTTATCCAAGCTTCTACACTGCTTATTGAACCACATGAATAGAGATACTACATACCGCCTCATACTCATCCATTCCTAAATTGCCATCATCTCTAGCATAAAACTCCCCATCCACTTCGTCAATGAATTCAGGAACATCCTGCTCATCAGCCATGTAGTCGAATTCGTCGACTTGATGTTCAGACATGATTCACCTGCACATGAATGTCTTGGTATTAGCATAAAAAGCTTGAAATTTAGAATACATGCATAATTTCCTACCTAAACCCAATGCTTAAAGACCAGTCAGCTGTTCTATCACTGAAATATAATATATACAAAATTCGCAATATCTCATCAAATTATTAGATCAAAAGTACCAAAAATCAATTAGCAGTCAATCACTAAACCCCTAATCTTTATACTCTAGAAAAATCAATTGCCAACAAAAATAAATCAATACTAGATCTTCTACGGATCTTCACCCACCAAAAAAAATTGAAAAATTAAATTAAAAACAGAAGCAAAATTCAATAATTCTCAATTAAATTCCAAATCTAAAGAACACCCAATTCAAAACAATCATAACCCATCTATCAAAACTTGAACCCATACAAAAAAAAACCAAAAACCCAGAAAAAATGAAATCTCAAATCCCCAAAACATACCCTAAAATTGCAACCAAAGAACAACCCAGAAAAGAAATTAGATAATAAACCCACAAATCATCAAATCAAATATTATTAATTTATTATAAACATAACATAATTAAAATACAATAAAATAAACCAAGTAAGAATAATTTAGAATATGTAAGAAAACGACATCACCTTTTAATTAATTAAATTTTAAGACAGAAGAGCAATCTGGAAAACTCTCGTTCTCCTTCAACCTGAATATCTTTCCCAAATATCAGATACTATAACTTTTAATGGGGAATTTTTTTCTTTTTTTTAAGAAAATAAATTAATTAATTGAATTTCTACATAAAAAAAAAAACCGACTTTATTGGGTTGTGGGGAAAAGAGGAAGTAAATGGGCCTTAAAAATTGGGGAAAATAAAAATGAACGCAAAGACTCGGATGAGTCAACTCAACTCGAAAAGTAATGTGTCCCCAGAAATAGATAAATGGGGTTGCAGCATTAAATTGATTTGATAAGAGAATATCAAGGTTAATTAGATTTGAGAAATTAAATTTGGATTTGGCAAAGCAGATTTTGTGCAGAGAGGATGAGTTGTGAGGGGGGAGAGAGCAACAGAGAAACAGACAGGTTTGAGATGCGACGGTGGATCTCCAATTTTTATAAAATTTTATTTATGGAGTACTAATTAGAGGTGTCAAAACCGAATCGATTTGGAAAAAAATCATTCATTTTGAAATATAAACGATTCGATTTGATCAGAGAAAATTAGGATCCAAACCCAATATGTAACCGACCTGAACTCAATTCGAATTCAAATTTGACCCAATCTAAACTTAAATCGGCATCTTTGATCCGACCTGGAATCAACACGAAACCGATTTGATCCGAGTTGAACTCAAACCGAACCGGTTTGCCCGACCTAAACTTAACCTTATCCGAAATTGACCAAACAAATAACCGATTCAATCCGATCTATTTTGACCTGACTGATATTAACCTTACCCGATTTTAACTCGACTTGATTTTAACCCAACCATGATTTTAAAACCAACCTATTATTGACACTTTTTTATTTTCTTTTTACTTAAACATAATTATTTTGATCCATCTATATACAAGTTTTTTATTTATTTTATTCAAGGTCATATACTGTTATATTTAATAATTATTAATAAGTTTACCTTTTATCCCGTCAAAAAAAAAATGTTTACCTTTAATAAATAAATAGAAGTCCTACAGAGTAACATATTTACTTCAAATATGAAGTTTATAAAATTACATTAGCTTTATATTCGTCTCATCTAAAATTTTTTAAACACAATTATAAAAACCTCAACATTAAAACTCTTCTTACAACAATAAGTATTGACTCAAATCTTTTTCAAATTTAATTACAGTTACTTGGCTCAATGATAAAAAAATAAAAATTAAAAAAAATTACACAAGAACATTCAATGAGAACACTAATACATTGTATTTCGTAATTAGAGTAAACTAAACTTTGTACTCAACTTGTTTTACGTGTTATGGCAGGTTATGGGGAAGCATTGAATAGCCAATTTTTTTTTCATACCTTGAAGTCTGAGATAAATTACAATAAAAATGTACAATTTTAAGACTAAGCAATTAGAGTGAACTAAACTTTGTACTCAAACTTGTTTTACCTGTTGTAGCAGGTTATGGGGAAGCATTGAATAGCCATTTTTTTCATACCTTAAGTCTGAGATAAATTACAATAAAAATATACAATTTTAAGGCTAAGCAATTGTCATTTAAATTATCTAGCCATTACAACTAAATGAGTAAAGCGTTGAACATCACCTTAACTAAATTAACTTCAAAGAACCATTAGAAGCACATTTAGATATCGATATTTTTTTTTTTAACGATGAAGTATGAACTTATGTAATCTCTTCGAATGTAGGATTTAATTTGCTAGCTTGTACTTGTAGATGGGTATGAATAGATTAATTGGGCAGTCAACTTCAAAGAACCGTTAACATCACCTTTAATATAATGTCGGATTGTTTATATTTTTTTGGCTAAAACCGGTTATAACAAGTTAGAACAGGTTAAGTGGTCAGAATATTCTCTCCAACAAATACTATCCCATAGTTTAGTACCCAATTTATAACTTTTGATAGTTGAGTACCCAATCTGCAACAACTAAGATAGTTTAGTACCTAGTTTTATGGTTCACTCTTTGTAATTATTAGTCACATAATATGAAAAATGTAACATGAATGACTTGATATTGACCCAATAATGAGGTAAAACTCAATAAGTACTCTAGTTTTAAATGACTTTATTTGAATATTGAATTTATCAACCCGACCAAAATTAGCCAAACACAAAAGGATTTTATTTGGAATTGATCTAATATTGAATCAACCATATCTAATTAAATTGTACTTGGCCGAACCGCAAAATCAACCGAAACGAAATCAGCCCGACTCGAAATTAACCCGGTCAAACCCTCTTTTAATCCGATCCAAATTTATCTGAACCGATTATGAATCGATTTGAAGATGACCCCACCGAAACTCGACATATCTTGACCCGACCTAATCCCATCCAAGTTAAAAGAGTAATTTTGACCCGACCCGTCATGGGTCAACACAAACTCCATACGGTTATCTGAATTGACACCACTAATACTAACATTACAGTATTGAGTGTAAATAAATTGCTTCATCTATCTCGTAAAGATTGTTTCATCGTGTTAAAAATATATATTAGAACTTTAATTATGAATTCTCATTAGTTAATGGAAAATAATACAATCACGTGTGATCTTATTGTAATTATTATTAAAAGTTTAAGTTAATGTTTTGAAGATTATGAAAAGTGATTGAGAAATCTTAAAAGACGAACGAAGTGTTAATAAATTTAAGTAATAGAGATTTCATAGTTGTAGTCTTCTCATACGTAAAATTGTTTTATTGACTTTCACAGTACTTTCTTTATTTTTTATTACTCCGTATTTGGTTTCAATTATTTTTACAACATTTTGAGTTTTACATTATTCATACTCTTATTTTGTTTTTATGAAAAGATTTATACTCTATATTTTTTGACGAGAACCCAGGGGAAATTATATTAAAACTTTGTCTGCAAAAACAGACACCTAAACTTTTTCATACTCTATATTAAATACTCTAAAATTGATTATTTATATAAAAGAAAAAATATTAGAGGAATTAAATGAAATAGTTATACTTGTATTTTTTTTGTATTTATTTTTATTCTTTGTCTGTTTTCTCAAAGCGAGTTAAAAAGGCATAATTAATTGATAAATGTGTCGACTCTTTCGAGTGCAATCTAACTTTCAGAATGTACAATATACTTTCTAAATTCTAATCTTTGATTGTAGATTTTTTTTTTTTTTTTTTTTTTTTTTTTTTTTTTTTGAGAATAGAGATATCAGTAGCAGCAATGCCACGCCACAATTAAGGGGGAAAAAAAAGATGCGTTTACTGAATTTGGGTAGTATTCTTTTTGTCACAAAAGAAAACAAACACAATGACATGTAGTCGGCAAACAATCCCTTTTATTTTAAAAAAAAATATATATTCATCCCCACTAAAAAATTTGATGCTTCGAAAATTCGAAATTTCAGAAATTAAAATATTCCTCAATCTTATCCGATATTGTTGACATATTGAGTACGACATTTTTTTTTATTTTTTTTTATTTTATTTTTTAAGGTAAGAAGAAGCATCTAATTTTGTTAAAACTTTTCAATGATCAACTTATGTGGATTAAAAGGACAAGACCTTTCTTCAAAACAAAACAAAAAATTGATAAAAAAAAATAATAATAAAAAGGGCGAGACCTCTTGAAAAAGGAGAGGTAAAAAAAATTTCACCGCTAAAGTGGAATTATTGAACATAGATCCCTTGATTTAATTTATAGCTTGTCAGATGCTATCTTTACCACTAAATCAAGTACTATTTATATAATGTTAAATGATTGAGTGAAATAAGTATTAAAAACACAGTAGATTAAGAGGTAGCTAATAACCAATGAATCATGGATTCTTAGGTCCTTGTGATATGGATAATTATATGAGTAATGATATATGTAGCCTTTAGGGCTATATATTACTATTAAATATACTTTTTGAAATGGAATTAAGGTGGGAATTCATGATAAAATCACGCACGTATCGGTGTAATTATGTTAATTTATTCTCAATATTTCTTTTTTTAGCTTCTTATACATAGTCCTACGGGTTATGTTTACCAATTTCCTAATTATAGTCATCCCCACTAAGGCACTAAACACTGTTTGTTTCTATTTTCTAACTTTATGATTTTACAAATTTTCCCCCTTATTTATTACGAGTAACTTAATTCTCAATATTTATGTCAAATTTTCTCGCATTTTCCTCATGTTAATGGTAGACTATCTCTCTTAACAATAATTATTACTCTATCTTTAATCTCATGCCATAGTGAGTTTGTTCAACTACATTTATTGAAAATAAATTAACTGTAAAGTACAACATATATAACGTACGTACTCCTTATATAATTTGGCGATTGTCAATGAACAACTTAAATATTTGGTTCATAACTTTCAAATGTATTGATTTTATTCGTTTTTAGAGAGCCATAAAGGATAAAATGTAATGAACATGTATGATTAAGAGATTTTATCTCACACAGAGTAACACCCAGACCCTATAAATTTAAGCAACTAGACTAATTGGATTAAATGTAAGGTAGTACTAATTAACAATGTAGAGTAGTATAAACATGTACTAAGTATTGCACAAGTGTCCAATTAACATGGTATGTGTATGTTGCCCATTATTGGATGGTAAGAAAACTATAAATCCATACTAGTGAAAATTGACCTCTTTGATATAGGGATGGCAGTGGATTGGGTTAAATGGGAGACCCATCCCATTTCCGTTCTAATAGAGCAGGGATGGAGGGACATTTGGTGGGTGATGGGTATAAAATGTGTACCCGCCACGAGTAAAGATGGCATTGGGTCGGGCCGGCCCGAAGCCCGACACAGCCTAGCACGAAAAAAGCATGGCACGACACGGGCACAAAAAAAGCACGGCACGGCACGACCGGGCCCGGCGCGATAAAGCATGCTAAAATCAATGCAATTTTGCTTAGACACGCAAGCCCGGCCCAGCCCGACATGAAACTCGTGGGCCAAGCCATGGGTCGGGCTAACTAACCCCAAAGCATGTGGGCCTGGCACGAGGCACGACCGGCAAGGCCCAGAGCGATCTTTAGCCACGGGTGGTGGGGTAGGTATGGATTTTAGAGTAAACCTGCCCTATCCCCGCCCCAACACCCGCCTCAAAGTCGCCTTATCCTAATTTTTGTAAAGGTTGAAACAAACTTGGAAGAGTCTAGAATCTTGATACTATAATCATATACTCATGAATTATTGACATTAACAGCGTATGAATTCCATCAAGTAGATAACAAAAGAGGTTTGTTATAAATGATAACTTTTCATATTATGGTAGCGGGTTTGAGGTGGGTATGGAAATCCAAATGGATGGTGAGGCGGGGATGGATATTAGCTTGTACACAATGGGGCAGGTATAAATGTGGATATTGTACCCACCATGTATGGGTGGTGGGGGGGGGAGATAGGTATAAGATTTTTTAGGCAGG